ACGCTATATCTATGCCACTCAGCCCAGCGGTCCATGCAATAATATTTTTATATTGGTCACCATCTACTTCCATAATAATATTCACATTATCCTTTTGCTGTTTTAAGTGATCGATAACCATTTGGCCTCGTGTGTGAGTGCCAGTCAGTTCAACGGTTGCGTGATAGTGTCGACTTTGTTTCACCGTCAAATGTGGAAAAAGGTAGGCTGCGACGACTACAGCATCACAAACCAGCCAACGTTCGATACCTTTGGGTATAAAAATAGCACGTTCCACAAGGTTCAGCAATTCGATGAAAGGACTCTGAATCGTACCGAGGACGTTCAAACGCCAGTCCTAAATGGATCAATTTTTATACATAGAAGTGTGTATATTTTCATGATAAATATTGTATGTACATACAAGTGATATATCAAACTCGCCATCAATGCAGGTTTCCCAAGGAAGTATTGTTAGTGGACTATCTACATGAGTTAAAACAATATGTGCAGCCTCTGGATCCATCATGAAATTGAACTCGGCGCTTTTAGTTATGTTGCCTTTGGCTATACATATATAAAAATGTATTAGCTTTACAGATCTGGTCAACAATTAGTAATTATTGTCTTTAAATTTGTTATATTCTATACATACCTCTATGATTGCCGCCCATAATATAAATTTTACCAACTTTATTTAAGAACTCTGAACCATACATATTGATACACATCGCAAAGTTGGTAAGTGGACCCACCAACAAGAAGTCAACCTTTTTCGGGTGCTACAATGAAAAATAATTATTCAAGTATTCTTACAATCATCAAAGTTGATCGAGAAATACCTTACAAACTATATCATACATCGCATTCACCGCATGCTCCGGCCGCACCAGATCCAAATTGACTGACGTCTCATGCTGCACTTCACCGAACCCATCCTTTCCATGAAAATTTTCCGGGTTCTCCCAATGCGTTTGTATGATTGGTGTACTGCAACCTTTATATACGGGCAACTGTGAGTATTTATATACTGTTATTCTAGAGTTATGATGTCTAATTAATTCCAGAGTAATCATAGTTACATCGTTTCTATTGGCTGCTTTGAGCACTCTGAGTGTGTTTATTACCACTTGGTCGAGATTGGTGTTTCCCTGCACGCATGTAACGCCAATGATTTCAAACTTTTCTGGGGAATCCGCTAGATCGACACGTCTTTTAAAAGCTTCTTCAGCTCTGATTAGCATCATCAGACCCCATGCATCATCGTTGCCGACATCACAATCGAACACTACGTAACGGCTCATTTTGGTAATGGTTTCTGCTGAAGATATAGCATTGTTTTTTTAAGTAAGCCTGTAAATTCAGGTTTTATGGGAAATTCCTTATCTCATGATTCCCCATGTCGATTTAATAAATCTAATAAAAACTGATTACGAAAGCTAAAACAAATAATTACATACATACACATATATATTGCGGTCATAAAATACCCAATGCAATGTACAATATATCATCTCTTCTAAATCTAATGTTATGGGTAAACCGATATAGCAAGCTATAATCTTAACGGTGAGCAATAATTGTATGTGAAGGTTTTGAACGATTCAAAGATGATTTTTCAAGATTTTGTTTAGTAAATTAAAAGCTGTATGCACATAGCCAATTTGTATAGCCACAAATTTGTTTCCCGGTTTTGCTTACTTTCCGTTTATATTAATAAGATTATTGCCAAAATAAGATCCAAATAAAGAAATGCACGCAACTCACTTATTTGTGATTCACAACGCTTTAGAGCCGAAACTATCCCCTTCAATGCCGAACACGAACTACCGGCATATCTTTGAAGACTGTGTACATTGGCGCTTCTCATTATTCTTTATCGCAGAGCAGTGGGTGCATAAAAGCAAATCACAATATAAAATATTTACATACGTACACACACAAAGTAATAATATTGCACTGACGAGCGCCTGCTGATTTGCTCTCCGCAGGCAAAACAATAATTTCTTATTATTCACTCAAGAGAGCAATGATCATGGGCTAGAAATTGTGCTTATGGAGACCAATTGTGGTTCATATCTAATGTACCTATGTATTTATAAGAATTAGTCTATTTATCCCTGCTGGAAAATGCTGCGTAAGTTGCTAAATATTATTTATACCCTGAACAGTGTATATTAACACTCAGAAGGATAAGTCGGAGATCCTATAAAGTATATATAAGTAATCAGTGTGATGTCGTGACTCGATTAAGCCATGACCGTCTATCTGTCGGCATATACGATATATCGATCTGAAATTTTGCTGACGTCCTTTTCTCCTCAAGAAGCTGCTAATTTGACGGAACCACCGTATAGCATATAGTTTCCATAAAAACTGAATGATCGTAAACAAGTTTTCCTATGGGAAAACAAATTGTTCAGCTCGAACAAATATCACACATAACTGCCATAAAAACCGACCAAATAAAGCAAATTTTTATACTTTTGCAACCTGTTGCTACAAAGTATAATAGTTTTGTTCACCTAACGGTTGTACGTAGCACCTAAAACTAAGCGATATAGATATAGGGATACATATATTATATATAAAGGAACAGGATGACGAGACAAGTTGAAATCCGGGTAACTCTCTGCCTGTCTGTCCGTCCGTGCGTGCAAGCCGTAACGTGAGTAAAAATTGAGATATTTTGATGAAACTAAGCAGGTTCAGCAGGTTCCTTGAAAAACGAAAAATTACGAGTGGGCGTAAACGCACCACAGCACGCCCACAAAAAAAATTACTTAAAGCGCAATAAATCAATATCTAATAGTATGTAAATAATAAAACTCAGTAAACATTTTTTAGTATGTGTACCCCAACTCCCATTTATGCACTACATATACTGAGTTTCGTTTTTCTAACAAATCTTATGCCGAATTTGTTGGTCAGTGTTTGAGTTATATAGAGTATGTGTATATATAGAAAATAGCTTAACGTTTGACATTTTGAGGTATCTGCCTTTGATTCGTGTAAAATGCAAAAATATAAAATGTTCAGTTACACCTGAACTTAGCCCTTCAATACTTGTTGTAGTACGATTTGTCCTTTGCTTTAAAATTGCCTTTAATTTCGGTGATCACTGTTGAGATTTGAAAACAGGTAATACGTGATTTAATCCTATATGGCAGGCCGGTGTTTTCAATTGACCTCTTAAGTAACTAGATCCTTTCAGATTTTGCAACTATTTCCAAACCATTAAACTAAAGCTTACTTGACGAGAATAAAGTATAAACTATATATATATTTGTTTTAAAGTTTTTGAAGTAAGACACAACCAAAACAAGTTCTTGTATGCCAAATTTATACTGTGAAACTCTAGGTGACTCCGACGCTATATCTATGCCACTCAGCCCAGCGGTCCATGCAATAATATTTTTATATTGGTCACCAACCACTCCCGTAATTATTATCACATTTTCCTTTTCCTATTTTAAGTGATCGAGAACCATTTGGCCACGTGTGTGAGTGCCAGTCAGTTCAACGGTTGCGTGATAGTGTCGTCTTTGTTTCACCGTCAAATGTGGCAAAAAGGTAGGCTGCGACGGAACAAGTTTTCCAAGAAATTATTGTTAGTGAACTATCTACATGAGCTAAAATAATATATGCAGCCTTTGGATCCAACTTGAAATTGAATTCGGTACTTTTGGTTGTGTTGCCTCTGCCTATATACATGTATGTAAAAATATATTATTTTACAGTGAAAAAATCTGGTCAGTAATATTCGTAATTATTAACATAAAATTTGTTATATGCTTTACATACCTTTGTGATTGTCACCCATAATATGAATTTTACCAACTTTATCTAAGAACTCTGGACCATACATATTGATACACATCGCAATGTTGGTAAGTGGACCCATCAACAAGAAGTCAACCTTTCTCGGGTGCTACAAAGAAGCGATTTGCTATTATTCAAATAAACTTACAAGCACTTCAATCTAGATCGAAAAACAGCTTGCAAACGATATCATACATCGCATTCACAGCATGCTTGGGACGCACCAGATCCAAATTGATCTATGTTTCATGCTGCACTTCACCGAACCCGTCATTTTCATGATAGTTTCCAGGGTTCTCCCAACGATTTGTGTACTGCAACCTTCATATACGGTTAACTGTGAGTATTTACAGTTATTTTATAATGATGATATGTCCTTAATTCCGAAATAATCTTACTGACATCTTTTCTGTTGTTCATTGTTTATATATACCTTCATTGTTTGCTATATCGATTTAATAAATCTAATAAAAATTGATTACGGAGCTAAAAAAAAACGGGAAAAAACGTTAACTTCGGCTGCACCGAAGCTAGAAATAGTTTTTTTTTTTTTAGATATTTTTCCTGAAGATACCACGTCAAATGCGAAAATTTTTCATAGAAGCACTTGATTCCGATCGTTCGGAATCTGAAACAGAACAGGAAGTTTCCCGTGCAAGCATTTGATTCCGATCATTCAGTTTATATGGCAGCGATATTCTATAGTAAGCCGATCTGAATAAGTTTATCCTATATTACATTATTTTCTTAGAAAGTAACATGTGCCAACTTTTGTGAAGATACATACATTGTCAAATGTGAAAGTTTTCCATACAAAAACTTGAATTCGATCGTTCAGTTTGTATGTCAGCTATACATATGTGTGTTGTAGTGGTCCGATATCGGCAGTTCCGACAAATGAGCAACTTCTTGAAGAATCGACACAGCTCCACATACTGATCGTTTATGTATATATATATATACTTAATAGAGTCTCCGATGGTTCCTTCTGGGTGTTACAAAATTCGTGGCAAACTGAATATACCACGTTCAGGGTACATTTTTGGACATGTTGTTGTAACCAAATACCCAATGCAATATACAACATAGCATCTCTTCTCAAACTAATTTAAGGAAGAAATACGATATGACAAGCTGTAATCTTATCAGTGTGTAATAATTGAATTTGAAGGTTTTGAGCGATTAAAGTAGATATGCATTATAATTTATTTTGGTTAATAAATTAAAAAGTGTGACACGTGTATTTAAATAGAATTTCTCTTTCAAAGAAAAATAAGAAAGGTAAGGGTTGTCTCAATTTGTCCACTCAAGTTCTATTTACATTTGAACTTGAATTGTTATTGATAATATTTGCAAGCAATAAAAAATATATATTCTGAACGTTTGGAGAACCAATATTTTATAACAATTTACAAGAAGAGTCTTCACAACGAAATAATGCCATAACTTTCTGTTTCATGAAAAACTCAACACAAACTTTATGTGCTCGTGTTTCCCGATTTTACTTACTTTCCATTTATATTATTAAGATTATTGCCAAAATATTATCCAAATATAGAAATACACGTAACTCTTTTTTGGGGTTCAAATGACGGAACTATTCCCTTAAATGCCAAACGAACGAACTGCCGGCATACCTTTTAAGACTGTTTAACCATTGGCGCTTTTCATCATTTTTTTTTTTACAAAGTAGTGGGTGAATCAAAGCAAATCACAATATACATATACATATTTACATACGTACACACAAAATGTAATAATACTTTACTGTCGAGTGCCAACTGATTTGCTCTCCGCAAGCAAAATAATAATTTCTTATTATTCGCTCAAGGGAAATGAGCTAGTGGAAACCAATTGTTGTTGTGTAGTCGAAAATGCCTTTTCGTATTTCTAATAACATTTTAACTTATTTTTTCTTATATTTACGATAATTATCCCTGTTGGAAGATGCTGCGTTACTTGTTAAATAATATTTATAACTTGAACAGAGTATATTAAGTTGCTACGAAGTTTGTATCACCCAGAAAGAAAATTCGGAGAACATATGTATATACATGTATGCATATAGTATATAGTACATATACGTGATCAGCGTGAAGTGCTGACATATTTAACCATATCCGTCTGTGCACCCATCTGTCTGTCCATCGACACACAAGCCTACCAGTCCTTCAGTCTTTGAGATATCGATCCGAAATTTTGCACACGTTGCACTCTCTCTTCAAGAAACTGTTGGAACCACCCATATCAGACCACTATAGTAATAAATAAAGTTTTGTATGGAAAAACAAATTGTTCAAATCGGACAACTATAACAGGTATGTACATATATACAAACAAACCGACCAAACGAAATAAATTTTTTGTATAAAAGCTTTTTTTATTAGTGAGGGCTATTCTAAATTCGGTGGAATTGAAGTTAACGTTTTCTCTTAATTTTGACTGACTTCGCAAAAAGTGATATAAAATAATATTGCATGTAGCCGTTTATACGAGAAATTTACTTCAATAAAATTTCATACTAAAATTAAAATTATATTGTCTGCGTCGTTCCATGTTTTCTATTTACGCTTTAAAATTAGATTTCAACTATTATTAAAATTTTCTATTACTTAACTCTCAACTTTCATCCATAAGGTGTCAAAATTGACTAAGCGCCACTTAAGCGGTTACATGGGTGTTCACGGGTAAAAAAAAAACCTTTTTTCAAAATTTTTTTTCTTATTTAAAAAATTTAAGATTTTAACAAAATGTTTCATTGCTAAAAGCAAGCACTATTAACAAAGAAATACTGAAAGACGCCATTTCCGGTGACCCCTAGGAAAAAATATGCGCCCGCATAGCCAAAATAACTCCTTACAAGATCAATAGTGAAAAAATACGTGTTTGATTTAAAACCTTAACTAGAACTAGATTTTTGGATTTTAATTTCTCGAGAAATTTTGCCAGCCGATTTCAAAAACACTGTTTCGAGAAAAACGGCGCACTAAGCCTAGCTAGCCTCAAGCGCACAAGTTCTCAAGGCTGAATCTCCGAAGCTATTACTCGGATTTACTTGAAAATTTAGGACAATATTCTGGAGGCATTTTAGAATTTTATAAGATAATAAAAAGAAAATTTTTTGAAACCCGTAAACTTATGTTAGCGAAATGTCTGAAAACTCTTAAGCAAAGACACAACATACTTAGCAATTAACAAAAGGTAATTAAACGTCTTCCAAATTTATATTATTAAGATATGTTAGTGATTATTTTGAACTACTTAAAAGAATTTTGTTAAGAATTTCTTAAAAGAAAAGTATGTAGGGGACCAAAAGAACGCAATTTCATGGAAAATAAAAACGCTTCACAATTTTTTTTTGTTTTTGCACAAAACTAAAATGGCTTTTAGCCCACAACGTATGCTTGGTTACGCACATTTTAATGTTGCCAATATTTTTGTAGAAAACAAAGGTCACCGTTAATATTCTTACAGACAATCCTTTCACAAAACAAAGTAAATCGTTATACCTGATTATAGCGTCAAACAAATACTTCCGTATCTATGAATTGTAAGAGCAATTAAGAGTGCAGGCAAAGTGCTGAGAGCACTGAAAATCGCTGAGAAAGAGAGAAAGAGAGTCAGAGTTGTGTAGTGTTTTGCCGGCTTTCTGGCAAATTCACTAAGCATTTGTGTGCAGGTGCGTGAGGACTGCTAATACGCTGAGGCGGTCGTACACATACAGACACCTTAAAATTTCATACCTTACTACTAACAAATATAGATAAACAAAGTTCGATTGTTAAATTTATAGTGCAATAACTAGTGTTCGTTCATATGTGATCGCTGTTAGTTGATAAATTGCCACAAGAGAGCTGAAAATATAGAAGTACACAGTCCAATTAACTAGTAAATGCATAATATAAACTTCAATTGCTCACGCTGCTTAACAGTTTTGTGTTTTATTATTGGAATTTAGTACGCTGGAAGAGTGGCTAGTGAGCAGCTGCCAAGAAACGGTCAAAAGATGCGCAAATTTCTTTACAAGTACATATAGTAGAAATATATTTACAAAGCAATTGTGTGGCCGCGATGAATAACGCGCGAATAAAAGAATTTCAATTGTATTCGAAATAAGAAAAGAAGCAATTTGTGTTAGAAGGTACATGCTGATTTATGGCAACTAAGCGATAATAATAGCGCACAGAAGTATAAGCAAGTTGTGCGCGATAAGCTGTGCGAAGATAACTTGCTGAAAACGCATGAAACTATAATTTTTTTTGAATAGTTAGAAGTTAGATTAACTGTGATAAAATCATAAAAACTCAACGCTCATGTCGGCACAAAATCGTTTCGTTATTTTGGATTGCGATGGCGGCAGCGATGATGCCTGGGCTTTGATGCTGCTGCTCAAGGCAGCCGCCGAGCAACACGTCACGCTATTGGCGGTGACTATATGTGGCTGTGGCAATACCGATCTGCGTAGTGCGACGCGCAACATGTACCGCATATTGAAGGCCTACAACAGGACTGAGGTAATATTTGGCGCCAATTTGGATCACGTAGTAGACCGCCAACGCTTGACATTTGTTGTGAAATTTAAAATTCAAAGTATTTTTGTGCCAAAATTGCATTTTACTTGCAAAGCAGTAAATAAATTGTGTGATTAATTTTGTAAACTCACCAACTCTAGATACCCATTTATTATGGCGCTGCGGAGTCGCTTATACCACCCACCGTACCGCTCGATGATAACAAGTATTTTCATGGCCGCGACGGTTTCGGCGACATATTGCCCCTAGAGATAGACTACAAATTGGACGAGGTGGTGCAAAAAGAGCACGCAGTGATAGCTATAAATAGAATTTGCACTGAGGTACAAACATTTCGTATGCATTTTCATTAGCTGTGTTACTTTAGTCACATTTTCTTTATATTTATTGTATTATTTAGCATCCGAAAAAAGTAACAGTGATTGGCGTGGGGCCATTAACGAATATTGCGCTTTGCTACTCCATGTTCGGTGATGGGTTCGCGAATGCAGTCAAGGACTTTTATCTAATGGGCGGCAATCATCAAGGTGAGTATACACAAATAATTATAATATGAATATAAATAGCCTAAATAGGCATACATACACATGCTTTTATATAAAACTGAATATTTGTTCATTTGTTTGTGTACTAGTCACAATCTGCTTAACGGTTTTTGTTTGGTTTACTGCAGAGTTCAAATGCTTAGAAATAAAAATAGGAAATGTTACCAGATAACCCATGAATAAAAGCAAAATATTTTTTTGGAAAATTCTTAATTTTATAGAGTTGTGAGCATTTGTAAAAATTAAAAAAATTAATTTATGATAAGTAAAATATTCCACTCACCAAAAAAATATTTAAAACACACTCAAATCTCCACTTCGCACTAACAGGTGTTGGCAACTGCACTCGCTGTGCCGAATTCAATTTCTATGCAGATCCCGAGGCAGCACATGCCGTACTCGCCAGATCCAAGTGTCCCATCACCATACTGCCCTGGGAACCCTGTATGGAAGATCGATTTTTTATATGCATTGTAAGTATGCCATAGCATTAATTAATGCTTACTACAATATTTTCTCGCATAAATGGTAGAATTGGCGTTTGGACGAGCTCGGCGCACTGGCCGCTAACACTTGCTCCGCCATCGACATTATGAACAAGGTGGAGCGCGCTCAATGGCTGCCGTCGAATTTCAAAAGCTGGATACCGTGTGATGCTCTGATTGTGGCCGCTTTTCTCTTTGAAAGCGTTCTCGTGCGGAAGAAAAGTAGTTGGCATGCGACTGTGGATTTAATGGGGCACACACGTGGCCAAATGATTTTGGATCACTTGCAAGAGGTGGACAAGTTTCCCAAAAATGTAGACGTTATTGAATTGTTGGATGCAGACGCGTTCAAAAAAATTGCCCGATGGGCAGTGGGTTTGTACGATGAGTTCGTAGTCGAGCATAGCAATGGGAATGAAGTATTGTAAGATTTCTGAATGTTAAATCAACGCTATGAGAAAAAGTTGTGTTTCTAAACGTGTAAGCAATCAAAGGCATCTCTGTAATAAATATACATAAATATGCATTAATTTAATTATAGCTTATGGTAATAATTCATTTAGTGTATATGTGTTGTAAACGAAGAATTCTTTTTGAGTCCTTTTGAGTTGTAATTGAACGGATGTTAAAATTAGTTATAAAATACCCAAGACAGTCGATCCCAAGTAAGTCAAACTCAGAAAAAAATCATGTCTTCAACTATGTAAGGTATACTTATATAATTTTAGAAATTCTGAAAAAATAATTTAAACCAAATTTTGTATAACTGTTTTGCAGCTATTTTTCCAACTAATCAATTCATGTTGGCAATGACTGCTTTCATACCAAACAGTCCACAAAGTTTTGTCAAAAACACATTTGACTTCTGCAAAGCACACAAAGTGATAAAAAGTGAACAAATCAAACTTGATGAATGTCACACTGAGAGGAAATTAAACAAAAACAGTACACCGAGATAAAACAAAAACCACCAAAGCACAACGAATGCGAATGCGCGTACACAAAGCACACCCCGAACATAGGTTAACCCACCACCTTCTCCGCCCCCTGCAACCATACACGCTGGTAATTACCAACAAAAACGATGAAACAACAAAACAACGAAATAGCAACGCCAATAACAATAGAAACTGTAGCTACTCGTAAGCGAGAGGGCAGATATTCGTAATTGTGACGCTGAGCATATCAGTGTACAGTGGGTTCGCACTGTAGAAATTTATATTATAATTATTATATAAATAATTTAAATGTGTTTTAGTAGGAATAAGCCGTATGTTGGAGTGAATACAATTTTATGCATTTTGAAGCTGAATTTTATTGGTTTATTATTATATAATAATTTTTGTATATGCAAAATTTAAATTAATATCCAAATTTAGGTTTTTTTATATTAATTTATATTTTGAAATATCTTGATAGTACGATCATTCAACGTATAACAGGAAAGATAAAAAGGCGATTTTTGGAATTAATAAAAAGTAAATTTTCTTTGTCAATTATTTATTTTAAATTTTTGAAGAAAAACAAAATATTATTTAAGAAAAGTTCTCCAGCGGTGCAAAGATTTCGACCTTCTTCCTATATAAAGGCTAACACAAAATTCAGACTTGAAATTACTGTCCGTACAATGGTGTACGCTCAAAAAAATTTTTTTAGTAAAGATAAAAAAGATTTTAGTAGATATTTTCTAAGTATAACCTATGAATTTTTCTGAATTTCAACCTACGTGTGCCCCGTAATTTCAAAAAAAATATTCTGGATCACATTATTGTATTATATATGGGCACTAAATAATAGAGGCTTCTAGCAAAACATATTTATATGCGCAACTTTAGTTATTTGTAAAATATACAAAATTAGGATTTATATTTTATATAGATTCGCTCTCGTGAATTCATAAACATTTAAGATTAAAGCCTTGTAAAACCGGGAATAACACAAATTGTATTAATTTTTTTTTAAATATTTCGAATATTGCCCCACTGTGCAACAAGTATATCACAAAATACGAAACTACGTTCAACATCATTATCATCATCATAAACAGCAACAACAAACGCAACCAAACCAACAGTCAGCTGCAAACAAACATACATACACATACTAATAGCTGGGTGAGCCATCAGTGGCGGTTGCGGCCCAGCTCCGGAGCAGAGGCACAGCAGTTCGGCAGTTAGCTAGCCTGACAGCAGTAGTCAGAACGAATCGAGAGGAGCAAGCGTTTGGACGTAGTCGGTATTGGCAATCGACAATCGACAATCGGCATCGACATCGGCAAACGGTCGTCTGCGTCGCTGCGTCGCGTATGCCATTTGTGCTGCTGCTCTTTCAAATAGTCGCGGGCCTAACACTCATTCTATTTGTTATTCATTATATTTATTATATAATTAATGCAATTGCCGGCGATTTACAATTACAACAACAGCTACAGCAACAGCAACAACAAATATTGCAGTTGCAACAAAACGTGTATTTACAACAATTGCAACAACCAATTGTAAAAAATTATCGACAACAACGCATCCCAGTAGCGTCGTCTGCAACATATAGAAAATCGCATTGTTTTACAGCAACAACAGCAACAACTGGCGAAAAAATGCAAACAAGCGACGATGCAAAGTTTATAAAAAAGTGAGTGAATACAGATGAGCAAAAACCAAACAAATAACAACAATAACAAATAAATGTAAAATGAAAAATGAAAAATAATCATAACAAAAATTAGTAAGAAAAATGTATTTACATAAAAGGTGTTGTTGTAGTGTTGCAAAGAAAATAGCCAAGCACAGTGAAAGATGAGCTGTCCAATTGTAAGCGTTAAACAATTCACCGTTTCGGGGGCAACAGCTAAACACGCCCCAAATGCAAATGCTAACGGTTGTCCACAGCTGAAAAGCTCAAAATTTTATTATTTTAATTGAGCTGCAATGTGCGATAAGCAGAAGCATGACTAACTGTAAAATATAATGAAATAAAATTTTGCGAAAAAAGCTGCAAAGGTGCAACTTTTTCCCAGCGCCTGATTGCGGCTGAAAAGTGTGTGTCAGCATTATCGATTTTCCATTTCCTCAGCGTTTTCCGACTGCGCACCGACCGACACGCGAAAATCTTGTACACATAAATACCTACGAATATGCGAGTGTGTATGTGTGCAGCGCGACCACGTTCTGCTGCGTCGTCCGCACAGGCGTCTCTTCGGCCCACCAATGTGCTGACGTAGTTTTCCCTTACTCACTGCCTTAAATGCGATTGAAACTCGGTGGTTGCGTCAAATAAGGGATTTTCGTCTTATTCGAATTCCAAATTGAATCATTTCTGCTTGCATTAATGACAGCGAATTTGATTGAAAGTTCTCTTATAACAATTTTAATAAAAGAAATTTTCATAAAAATATAGAAATTTCAAAAATATATGGACATTTTTATAATATCCGGTATACTCGTAGCTGAAAAAATTATTTCTAAACTCTGAGCAAAAAATCAACATAATGAAAATCTATGTATAAACGCAGAAATATGCGAAACACATTTTTTTTTATAAAAAACAACAATGTGAAATCATTTTGGCACTAAAACATAATATATTTAGATGGCAAAAACATTTGCTCCAAGCCGCAAAAAATGAACACATAAATCATTTATACATATATACATATACATTTTAATTGTATGTATTAACTCATACAACTTACCAAATGTGTATATTAGGGTCATCCGTTCCAAACTTGAGAATTTGAGATCAATCCATCATTCTGTTAAAAGCAATTTTTAAATAATGTTTAATTTTCTTAAAAGATAATAAAGGTATCTTAATAACTTAATACAAGTATGTATCGATACTTCTTTAAAGTATATGTATATTTCTTCCCATTCTACCGTAAAGCACTTTTTAGCAGAGCTTGGAGCAAAGTTGTAACATTTCATAGGATCCTTGAATGTGGAAAATATTTCAAAGAAGTTGACGCGTTGTTTTCAGTCGTGATTATTATATGCTCTTCTGTTCGGACGGCTAAGCTTTTTCAAAATCATACATACATACATATGTGTGTATATATGTACATACTATATATGAATGATTCTTTAATTTGTGGAGTAATCTAAAAAATTAGTCAATTTCGTGCAGTGATTCTTGTGATTTTAAACACTTTGGGAAATACCTACACTCTCAAAGATCTCATACCTCCAAGTTCTGAATTGAATTGAAATTGCATGCCTACTAGGGTGACAAAAAAAAAATATTTAAAGTCGAAAATTTTCATATATATGTACATAAACAAGCGTATAACCAAATTTGTGTTAAACGAACTTCCAACTCTCAAGTCTGAGCTCTGAGACCAAACACGAATGAATGAATTTGGCTTTATTTTACAAATTTCAAAAGATATTTTGTAACTTAAAACAAAAATAGACATTTATGTGTAAATTTATTTGTGCTTGAAAAAAATTAGAACAACCCTAATGTAGCTTTATTTATATTTATGTTTGAGTAGAAGTGATGCTTTGAATTTTAATTTTAAATTTCATATTTTAAAAAACGGAGATAACATTTTGCAAATTCGCGAAATACCTACACATACATATGTATATGCACTTATCTCTATTGCGTTTGTATGTATTTGTTCAAATTACCCTACTCCGAAAATGTCAAGCGGTTCATTTGAAACTGATGATTTTAAGAAATTGGTAAAAAGGATGCTATGATTTTTAATATAATATACATATAATGTACATAAGTAAAAATAAAATATAAAGGGTCTACCAACAAGAACGACGTGATGTTAAAAATTTCTTTCCCACGAGAGGTGGTCTTAGTAACCTGAACGGACCCGGAGTTTTTATCCGGTCAAGGACTGTCAACTCGACAAAACTCTGTTGGTATAGCAACAACAACAACAACGCAATGTTAAAGTGGGGGGGGAAAAAATGCGCAAAATCGTTCATTTTGGTTCTTTTTATTTCTAATGATGTGCAGGTAATTTAATGTCATTTACAATTTGAGAAAATGTCAGATAAGGGACCTCACGGCTCCGTTTCCAAATTTCCACCCCTTTACGCCAACTTTCGATAACCTGGTGATGCAATCCGGTTATAGTTTCGGTTATAGTGCAATGAATGTTGTCTTCGAGCTCCTTAAGCCTTCGATTTAACATACCGCCAAAGAAAATAATCTAGGAAACAAAATAATATTTTAAATGAAAGTGTGGTAAAACTTTTTAAATAATAATAACATCGTCATCGTCCCAATTAAATACATACTACATTATACTTGATAAAACGCTAGTAATCAATTCTTTATGATAACTTCGTGAATTTTGCGCTGTGATAAATTTGTTAATTTTTCCTTTATAATTTGTGTGAAATATAATTTTTCCATTACTTAATGAAGATAATATTCTAATTAATTTATGCAAGTATAACAATCGTATAATAACAATCAATATTATTAATCGATTATTATCGCGCAGACGATGGAAAGGCGGCACAATCGAACCACATCCAACGGATAAGGCATTAATTGTCAACTATCAGCTAGAAGCGACGGTCTTCGGCGAGCAATCCAGCAATCCGATGATTGAGGAAAAAAAGGTGAGTCAAAATCTAAGTGCGTCAAAGAAACACCCACCACTACGCATATATCGCCTTTTCTATAATATACATATATAAGCGATAAGGTAGAAATAGGAACTCCCATACACTTTTAAAGGAAACACAAATCATTAACAATAAATGATAAACATTTTCGTCGGTCAATAATCAAAGAATCGCATATAAACAGTTATTATTACTTTCTGATATGAAACTTTTTTTCGTTTGTTCAACTTTGGTGCAGCAATTAAAGCTCTAATTTTTCTGTTCACTACTTATGACGATATGATTTTAATCAGGGCCTCCTCTACGTGTTGAAAGTGTTGTCGCACAAGAAATTTTGTTGGATAATGATTTATCATTTTTTTACCAAGATTCTGAAGGAGTGATTGAATGAAAGGGTAAATACAATGAAAAGATACCGATCTGATATTTGGCTCAAAGTAGTGAATTTTTATCTATCCACCATCCACGCAACCCTTAGTAATTAAGCTTAACGCCAACCGTTAAACGTATATGACATCTGGGCATGAAAACTACTAGGCATTAAATTGTTTTCATAACCTCTTCGCAAATTTTGATACAATATTCTAAATATTTAGACAAATATTCTCGCAACGCTTTAATTGCCTTTAGCCTTGTAGCCAAAAAGTCAATGTTGACCAAAGTGTATAGCCCATAGGTTTCCCATAACCAACACAACAGTCTAACAGCCAAAATTCTGATAATTTAAGGGTAAGTTTTGTTTCTTAACTCACAAAGGGTTATCCATTTCGAGTGAACTTAAAAAAAAAAAAAACTTCTAGGGGCTGGGAATGTCACACAATCGTGGTGGTCAATCGTCCGGCCCAAAACAAGAAATTGTCCGCTCACCGATGTGCTCTCTTAATCCTTTGATTGATGCAAGTTGTGAAAAGTGGCGCCGTCTTGTTAAAACCAAATGTTGCCGAGATTACGAGCTTCAATTTCAGACATCAAATGGGTGGTTATCATTACGCTGTAATGATCGCCATTGACGGTTAAGTACACAACGGCTTTTTTTTGTGAAGAAATATGAACCGATGATTTCTCCGGACCACAAGCCACACCAAACCATTGTTTTTTCTGGAGGAAATGGCAACTCTTGAATCTCTTCAGCTTGCTCAACGTTCCGAATGCGGCAATTTCGCTTGTTTACATACCCATTGAGCCAGAAATGGGCCTAATCGCTAAACAAAATTTGGTTGGAAAACGTCTGATCTTCTTGGAACTTTTCAACAAGTTGTATTTCGTACGTATTTAATTTATTAAATACAGTACGAAAGTATTAATTTATGATCTTGACATAAAATGTGGCAAGTCCTTCCATATGTCAGTTCGAGTTGCAGTGAACGTTACCGAATCGACTCTCCTCGACCTGTACACTCTCAGCTTCGGCTGTTATATTTCCTTCACTGCGTGCTGGATGTGATCTTTCCGTCGAATATTACCCAATAATAAATGCTGGGTCTCAAGATAGGTGATGAAGCTTCGATTAGTACGCTCTGTATACCGATTATGTCGACCATAAGTTATAAAGTTGAACGGTTTATAAACTTTTTTCAGGGGTGTAAGTCTTTCTATGATGAAATGCGAAACTCACGCGTGATCTGTGGAAAAAAGTCAATCGAAAAAGTACCTCCAATTGGATCACCCGTTATATAAAATGTGTGAAAGAAAATATGCTATACATTTTGATTGATCAATTAATAGGTGAATTCGGCCGCTTTTACTTACTATTTAAACACCTCCGACAAATTTTTTTCCATTCAGAAAAGAATGTTTTCGAAATGAATTCGTCTTCATTTTGACTTGTTGTTGCATACTTTTTTGGCATCAATGAAATCATATCAATTATTCAAGTTTTTTACTTTAGCCAATCCTGTTACGTAAGCAAAAGTATAAATATGTATTGATGTAAATGACCAAAGGCACACACTTCAGATTTTTATTGCAATTTACAAATATCATCTCATGTATACATATGTACATCTACCAAAAAAAAAAATGTATAAAGCTCTACTGCCAAACGAATCCCAACTGTTTTCTCCCGACATTACAACCGTCCAAAGAACAGAACGTAAAAGTTTGGTTGAGCGGCAACCAATTACAAATGAATGCACTTAAAATACTTGGCGACCAGCAAACCTTCTGTTGGAGAATATGAAAGCACATTGGAACTTTACATGTAAATATGTACCATATGCATATAGTATATACGCACTGTTTCTGGAATATGGAATATGAATGGGTCGGAAATAAATGTATAAACATGCATTTTCATATACACTTGTATATAAATGTATATATGTATATGTAAGAAAGTAAATATGTTTATTTTGGAAAATTGGAAATAATGTAAATGAATGTAAATATATATGTATGTATATTTATAATATTTATAAGTATTTATCATTAAACCCTGAGTCATACATACTCTACGTTATCGATTTTTCACTCATTCAATCCTTTCACTGGCTTTCCTCCGCTCACCACAACAGCATTAAAACTCTGCCGCCCTATGACTCGGGAAGGACAACTTTGTATTGCACTTTAACCTCACTATCCGTCCTGCCACCTTTTCGAATTGCTTCTAAGAACGTACACACACCTAAAGCTTTGAGCGGTGGTGGTGCTGGTGGCGCTTTGATGGGTGGTGATGGTGGCAGTTCTGATAGCAATATGATGGCAGTGCGCCAACTAACTGAAACAATTACCATAAATGCATGTAAAAGTAAGCGTATGTGTGTGTGTGTAACAGCAATGAAGGCAGTAATAACAATCTTTATGTTTCAGCGTGTCTTAAGCCAGAACTTTGACGCTTTAGTTTATTACCACGTATTTTCGACCTGCGGAACAACGCACTGTGGGTTATGAAAATACCAATTTTTAGCAGTGATTTATTTTATGATAAAAAAAATCATTTTGAAACAAAAATTTTAATTTCAAGAGAAGGTTTTTATAAGACAAAGGCCGTAATCGTTCTACATTTTATTTTTAGAATCACTCACTTTTAAATATATGTTGAGTTTTCTGATTTTCTTCAACGTTAATGATTAATGACAAGCAAAACGATTAGCAAAAAACTTCATGATCTAAAAATGAGTTATATTTTGAGCGAAAAAATTTATAATTTCTTTTAATCTCTTTTATAATTTTAATTTATTACTAAAAAATAATGATGTTTATGGTTTATTATAAAATTAATCAATATCGCTGAAGCACATCATGAAAACACGAGATTAAAAAACCTACAAAGAATAGTAAAAAAGCATTAACATGATGTTGTCTTTTTTCATTCATTCTTAACGATATATTTTCAAAAATAAAAAAATATGAAATCTTTCACCATGCTAACCACTGATTCACCGACAAGTTCGACTGTTTCAGAGTCTTACATATAATTAAAATGTGAAAAAAATTACAAAGTCGTCTGCATCTAAGTTTAAATGGTGATCTATTTAGAGACTCCCTACTATTAAAAAAAAAATACATAAACTTCTGATTTAATGGGAAATGTTTATTATTATTCGAAGGAACATTCTTTGCAATTTATTTCTCGAAGATTATCTCTTTCAAATGTTGGCCTTGGCTACTTCTCACATGATCTATCCGTTGAGGACAATTTTCGATGACTTGCTCGAGCTCTGCTGGTAAGTGGCGAATAACACGCGTGATGTTTTGCTTCAAGGACAGAATAGAAGAGGGACTGTCCGCATAGACTTTAGACTTTACATATTCCCCTTAGGCAAAAGTTTAATGGTGTCATATCACACGATTTTGGTTGCCAATCGACCGGCTCAAATTGTGAAATTATCTGCTCACCGAAGTTTCTCTTAATAAATAATTGATGCGATTTGTTCGAAATGGCCCCATCTTATTGAAACCAAATGTCACCGAGTTCACTAGCTTCAATCTCAGACAAAAAAAAGTCGTCTATCATGGCGCGATAATGGTCATCATTGACGATTCGTTATCACCGGCATCATTTTTGAAGAAAGCAAGCTCTACAGGCCGATTATGTTGACCGTAAGTTGACGATGTACCACTACTTGGATCCCCCGTTAAATAACTCTACTCCAGCTACAGTGGATAATAGAGAGGTCCTTAATAACCTGTAATGGTGCAAGTTATGCTGCAAATAATATTTAAAGGTCAATTCATACATCTGAAGAAGAAGAGGTTTCTCTTTATATATGCATATGTATGTCTTTAATCACTCTTTTCTTCTAAAAGGTTTTACTAATCAGTACACCATGTCGTATGAAACATTAGTCATCCCCAATAAACGTAATTTGGATCACAACTGAAAGCTATAATCAAAACCCGGCAGACTTGTTTTAGTACTATTTAAGCAAATTATAAACTTTATTGGCAAAATTTTTGTTTTTGTACAAATATGTAGTTACTATGCTGACCATATGAAGTTTTGCTCATGCAATTTCCATTGGTAAACTAGAACTGCCTGAAACAAAGTTCTGCCAGCAATGACGCACTGTCCAACATTGCCACTCCACGGCCATAGTCACCACCATAGTGGGAAAAGCACTTGAATTGGTCTTGGCTTATGTTATGGCTATACAAAGTAAGTTCTTTTTTACTATTGTGAAATAAATACAATAAATCAGGCTAAGTGTAAAAGTGCAAAGTGTTGCTTGCAGGGTTCCAAATACAAACAGCTGTGTGTGTGGATATGTATAAATTGTATATAAATGTAGCTGCGCATCTAAGCACTTGTAAATACTTTTAGGCCTATCGTTAGATACACCTACTACCATATTTATTTATATTTATATATATGTACATATGTATGTATGTCTATGTATGTACAGCGCAAGTATATAAATTGTATATGTGTGCAGCTAGACGCAGATATTTAACCATTCAAGCATTCAAACTTGGTTACATATCATAGTTGGCAACTTCTGTTGTTGTGGATTGTCGTTTCGTCATCATGGCAACACGCTTCGGCTAAAATAGCA